GGCATATATCATTTTCATAAGGTTCTATTTATTTTAGTTCATTTTTGTTAGGTAATATCTATTTATGGTGTATATGTATTCATAAATGTATATGTATATATGTATATATATGTACATATACAATGTTTTTCTAGTATACATTTATTATGATTTCAACAATTATTTATAAATGTTATAAAGTACTTTATGAAGATTACAATACAGTAAGTGTACAGATAGTTTTCGTAATAACAGACATTTATGTACACTGAAATGATGTAATACAATGCACACAATTCATATATGAGTTTTAAACTCACAATTTTAGATAGCACAATGCAACTTTTTTTGTAGGAACATTACAAGGCAAATGGTTTCTTAATTTCTTTTAAAGCTTTGACAATAATATTTCTATATTGAAAGTGGAAAAAGTTGTACAAAATCTAAGACACTACAAACAGAAATAGTAGTGATTTTAGAAAGTTTTATTATTGTATTGGAATAAAGAATTTGATACAAGTAAAAGCTGCATAATTAATTCTAGAAATTATTTAGCAATCAGGAAGGATTTGATTAATACAGATAGCAATAAATTTCATTTAACGTGTTTTAATATAGATGGTCATTTATTAATTGTTATATACTTTAGTAACACATAATATTCATGAAATGTTCTTCATTTCATCACATATTATTCTTACTATATGTCTGTTACTATCTACAGAAATAAAATGACAATTATATAAGTAATGTTATTTTATGTATGTACATATTGAATTATGTGATTCAATTTACACACATTAGGATTTTGCGTTTAATTCCTTTTTAGGAAATTTCTCTATTTGAGAATGTTTGAACAAATTAAGAGGTATTATTTTTTAGGAGCTATACAATCTGTATAATCTGTATAAAAAAACGTATCTCACTATATTATTTGCACCTGTAAAAGGAGTGCTGTATTATGCAAACCATATTTCCATATATTAAATAAAAATTGTGCTTTATCACACAGAGACAAGTAAATAGTTTACCGTACTTCATGTTTCTTATTGTAATTATTTTACGTATCAAAAATCAATCAAATATTATGCTTATCATTTATCTGCTATTTATAATAAGAAAAACAACGAAAAATGAGCAAATTACTGTGAATTCATATAATGTAAAAAAAAATTTTTAAATTGACAACACTTATATCACATATGAATTTTTACTGAAATAAAATCGTAAGAATGATTATTTAATATTTCAGTCTATTATGATTTTAACAAAATATATTCCATTTTGTTTTAAACCCATTTCTGTAAATAATTGTATGTGATATACTCGTAAGAGTAACTATTCTCTATTGCATAATCACATTTGAAATTCACAGTTTACAATATGCACACTAAAAAATAGAAACAGTTTTTACTTGCTATATTATGTTGAAAAGATGAATCAACCAGATCATGATTGATTTACCTCGATTAAGTACTTTACTTATAATCTTAAATTAATTGCAGAAAAACAGTATACAGAAGGTTTACAAATAATAAATATAAACGTAAGTACGTTACAGCATGTGAAAGTAAATGCTTTAATCAGATTTGAAATGACCATGTATTAAACAATATTGCCGAAGTTATATTTAGTACAAAAGCATATTTTTTCAAACACGTGTAAACTGTATATATGATTCTCATATGTTCATACAAAGTACAGATACAAGAAAATATATATTGTAAATTTATAATGCATAAAACGTAGATGCAAACAAATTATGCACGATCACTACACTGAAACTACTTAATATTAACAACTTTAAAATAAATTCTGCACTAGCATTCTACTTTTTTATTATGCATGAGATTGCTTTAAATAAAGATTTTTAAAATATTAACAATAAAGTACAAGCCAAGGACTAGAGTAGAATTTAAAAATGAAATGCTACTTTACAAAATATTAAGGGAATATAATAAAAATATAATAATATTATGAAAATTGACATTGGCAATATTATAAGTAGTTTGTCATTATGCAACATGTATTACCCTTATTGGATGTTAGCACTTCTGACTTGCTGCTAAGTCACCACTTTACCTGGTGCTGATATAAAAGAATGTCACATTGACATTACTTGGTATAAAAATGACATTTTACTGTATAAAAACATATTTTAACATTTTCTATTGTTATTTAAATATTTAAGCTTTAATTATTTATTTATGTGTTGTCAATGTGTAAAATTTTCTAAAACACTCTCCAAGATGAGGGAAAAGTTGTTTTGTCATGTAAAAAGTTACATACATCAATTAAGGAATAATCCATGTTGTAATGGTGCATGCTGCCTTCTGTGACTGATTTTCTGTTACTTTCCCTTTCTATAGAATATACTAATTTATTGTACTATATACTAAGAAAATTTAGTTAATCCGTACCAAAGTATTTTTGTCCAAAATGATTAGGGGCCACAGTATGAATCTCTGATGTTAAAATCTTCATCTGTAAAAAGGAATGTAATTTCATACAAATATTGACATCTATTTGTAATTTAGAAATATATAAATATTAATAAATCGCATAAACAAATAATGTTTTTAACATAATAATGAAATAATAAAACTGTATACTTACCTTACAGAAATTGTATTAAATATTAAAGTATTATATATAAATTATTGAACTATTTACTACGTACCTACTTAGATATGTATCATTTACAGAGATGTTACCTGAGGAAATGCAGTGACTAGAGATTTGGCAGCAATTGGTGTACAAAATAAATTTGATAGAATAATATTCTCTTCAAGCACATTGTGTTCCTTTAATACAGCTATAGCTTTTATCACAGTATTTCCAGTACCTTATTTAAATATTATAATTTTATAATGTATCTAGTACACAGTTAAACAAGAATGATATTTTGTACATTCATACCTTCATTAGACTTTTATACTTACTCATTATAGGGTACATTAACAATACTTTTCTTTCTGATATATCATCTGGAAACTTTGCATAAACAACTCTAGCTTCATGAGTGTCCACGTCACTTTCAACTAATATTTTTCCAATTCTTATACTACGGCAACAATCCCTCAAACCCTAAGAAATGAAAATTGGCAGAAATTAATTACAATGCTTCTTAATCCAATAAAATAACATATGATGAACAAACATGTTATACCTGTTCCATAGCCTCCCCACTTCTTACTATGGACACTCCACAGTTTCCTTTCTGATACTTTAAGCCATCATACTTGACCCCTGTTGGTGTGGTAACAACAGATTTGGAAAATGGAAGTTGATTTAAGCTTTCCTCTATAACTAATCTTATCTAAAAAAAAGAAAAAAAACAAAACTATATCATCAACATATTTTAAATGTATAATCTGTACAATGAACTTTACTTCCGTTTCCTTATTTATTTACACAGACTTTTTAATGAAATGATCAAAATTAAAATCAATCAAAATATACCTACTTCTTATTAAATAAATATTAGTATTCAAATATAAAGCATTTTTTGGTGATTATCTAATAAAGGATTCCTCAAGAAATGTAAACATTCAGTCAGTATTGAAAGCCAAGTCAACAGCTTATAATAAAAATCACTTACACTCAGGTAAATATAATACGATAAATACAATTTTCTTTTCATCTCAATTAACAATTGTACCATGTCTCTGACAAAGTATGTCACCTGAAGCCTATTCTTCTATATATCTTAAGATTAAGTTCATTAAAATTAAAGCTCACTTCGTCAAATAATTATCTATTTCTTTTCACATTGTAAATAAATCACAATATGCCAGAATCCAATTGAATTAAAAAGAACTCACTAATCGGTCGGCGTAGAATTTGAAGTCGCTTCTCGTGGTGTTTCTGTAAATGAAGACGCGTTGATTAATTAGTTTAATCGGTAACGAAGGCACGATGCACCGGTATCGTATCGGTGTACTATAAACTTAAAGGAAAACTACGTTGTATATGCAAAGGCAGTTAACCTTTATCGGTTCGTTTACATACTTATCTCGCAATATAGTTTGAAGCTCTTTCACTTGATTGTTACACGGAAGTATCTTCAAATTTGGACCGTACACGTCGTTGACATCGTTACTGTCGTTCGATTTCTTCGTCATCGACGTTATTTCAGTACTACTGCCCATATTGTATTCTTCACGTGCGTGCGAAATTTCTCTGGACACTGACTACAGATTGCACGCAAAGCAACGAACACGTTATTCGGTATCTCGCTTCACAGAAACTCCATACCTACTCACCTAGCGGTGACGAGTGGGATCATCGGATTTTATATTTTTAATGTATCTTGTATTGCATTAGGGGAATAGACACCATTAAAGAAAGTAATTTACTATTCCTATTCTGAGAAAATTACGTATACGGTTGGTGATGCCAACGTTTAAAGGCAAACGAAAAGTACGATTAATTACTTATGTTTCCGATGAGTGCAGCGTAGAAAATGTTTAAAGTGGATGGGGGAAAAACAAGTTCAATTAACAACGTATTATCCGTTAATTGAATGTAACTTATTTTTAGCGGAATATATTGTACAATTTAGAAAATTAATTTTTGAATATTGTGCAATATAGGATTTAAATGATACCAACGTACAGTTCGATCATTGGCTAGAAGTTTGAGTGATCTTAGGATAGGTGGCGCCATCGATCATGGAGGGGGAAGGACAAGGAGGAATACGTGGGAGTGACAAGGACAGAGATAGTTGAGTTTTTGGCGTCACCTAGTGGAAAGGTTTTGGTACCGTTTGATTAGAAGTTTGAGAGGAGCTGTACTATGTGGCGCCACTAATCCGGGATAAGGAAGTGGGAATTTTAAAAATTATTTTAAGGCTTTTTAATAGATTAGATTTAATAGATCATTATTCAAGTATTTATTGAATATCTGACATTGAATAATTAATTATGACTTTCAGATTTATTAGACAGAGAAAATACTTAACTGTGTTACGAAATTTGAAAGGGAAAAAGAAAATCCTAGAGGCAATATTCCTGCAGTTCTAGTAGTTTTTGATTTGTGCCCTCTGAAACCACCTTGAGAAACCCCTCGAACCCCCTCGAG